TGATGTCCTGTCACCAAATACTCTAATGTTATAATTTAAAGTTTGATGACTATGTTGAACGTATCTATCCATGCATCCAACTTGAAATAAAGGATACCACTGATACGGTTAAGACTGCCTCATATCTTGACTTACATCTAGAAATTGAGAATTTGGGGGGGGGGGGGGGGGGAGTTGGTTGAGAACAAAACTTTACGACAAAAGAGATTACTTAAGTTTCCCAACTATGGTGAAATTTCCATTTTTATGTACCAACATTTCATCAGCGCCTGCATGTGGAGCATATATCTCCCAGTTGATACTATATTCCAAAGCTTGTTGCACGCATACAAGCAATTTTACTCTCATGTCGGGAGTCTCACATATTTTATACCACCTAAATAGTAACATATAACACGTACAAAGCGTATATAGTGGATATATATTAATGAAATATGAGAGAATGGTCAACTACTTCCATATCACCCGAATTATATAGTTTTCTGTTTTTCTTTTTTTTTGTTGGTTGCAATTTGTCAGTATGTTACGCTCTGTCTCCATCTCCTCTGGTTTTTCCTAAATCATAATACAGAGAAAACAGCTTCAATCCCATTAACAATAATGTGTAGTAAAGCAGTCAACAAAATCATAAATGCCTAGTACAACAGTCAACATAAGTATAAATGAATAGTACAACACTCATTGATGTTTCGTACAGCACTCTACATAAACATCAGTGACTAGTTTAATATTTAATATAAATATCAGTGACTAGTACAATAGTCAACATAAACATCAATGACAAATACAACAGTTAAAATCAATGTTTAGTGCAACAGTCAACATAAACTTCATTGTCTAGTCAAAAAAAAAGAACAGAAACAAATGCCTAGTACAACAATCAACATAAATATTAATACTTAGTTCAATAGTCAACATAAATAGAATTGTCTAAAACACCAGTCAGCATAAACATCAATGTCTTATACAACAGTCAAAACAAATATGAATGTTCAATACAGATGTCAACATTAACATTAATTTATAGTATGTAAAAGTCAACCTAGACATCGATGTTTAGTTCAACAGTCAACAGAAACATTAATGCATAGTACAACAGTCAAAATAAATATTGATGTTTCGTAAAGTACTCAACATAAACATCAATGACTAGTATAATAGTCAATAAAAACATCAGTCACTAGTACAATAAACATCAATGACAAGTACACTAGTCAATATCTATATCAGTGACTAGTACAATAGTCAACATAAACATCAATGACAAGTACACTAGTCAATATAAATATCAGTGACTAGTACAATAGTCAACATAAACATCAATGACAAGTACACTAGTCAATATAAATATCAGTGACTAGTACAATAGTCAACATAACCATCAATGACAAGTACAATAGTCAACATAAACACCAATGACAAGTACAATAGTCAACAAAAACACCAATGACAAGTACACTAGTCAACATAAACATAAACATCAATGACATATACAACATTCAAAATCAATGTTTAGTACAATAGTCAACATAAACATTAATGACAAGTACACTAGTCAACATAAACATAATCATCAATGACATATACAACATTCAAAATCAATGTTTAGTACAATAGTCAACATAAACATCATTGTCTATTAAAAATGTATAAACAGAAACATAAATGTCTGGTATAACGGTCAACATAAACATTACATTTTTTGTACTTACTTTAACAATCCACATAAACAGAAATGTCTAGAACAACAGTCAGCATAAACATCAATGTCTTATACAACAATCAACACAAATATGAATGTTCAATACAGATGTCAACGTTAACATTAATATATAGTATGTAAGAGTCAACCTAGACATCGATTTTAGTTCAACAGTCAACAGAAACAGAAATGTCTAGAACAACAGCCAATACAAACATCAAAGTTCAAAACAAATGTCAACATTAACATTAATGTGCAGAACAAGAGTCATAGTAGACATTGATGTTTAGTTCAACAGCCATATTAATATAAACATAATGCAACAATCAACATAAACATTATTACTTAGTACAACAGTCAACATAAACATACATTAAATACACAAGTAAGAGTCAACCTAGACATCGATTTTAGTTCAACAGTCAACAGAAACAGAAATGTCTAGAACAACAGCCAATACAAACATCAAAGTTCAAAACAAATGTCAACAGTAACATTAATGTCCAGAACAAGAGTCATAGTAGACATTGATGTTTAGTTCAACAGCCATATTAACATTAATGCATAATGCAACAGTCAACATAAACATTATTACTTAGTACAACAGTCAACATAAACATACATTAAATACGCAAGTAGGTGAGATCGATAACGGGGAGGGACTGAAGGAATTATTCGGGTTAGAGAAAAAAAGGCAAAAAAAAAAGAATAGAGAATAATGGGGTTCTAAATTATAAAGAATAGAAAATAATGGGCAAAATGAATAAAGAATTGAGACAAATGGTCTGAAAAATTGAAGAATAAAGAAATGAAGAACCCCCCATCCATACCCTATTATATACACCATGGACGATAAAGAAAGTTAAGGAATTTCCTCATAACACTGGAATTTGGTTTCATTTGAAAAATATGATGAATATAAATCCTTGCTTAATCAATTAGAACAGATGAGTTGGGTTTCACAAAAGCTTGACTAGCCCGATGGTCAAAACTTAAACAGAAATGTCTAGAACAACAGTCAGCATAAACATCAATGTCTTATACAACAATCAACACAAATATGAATGTTCAATACAGATGTCAACGTTAACATTAATATATAGTATGTAAGAGTCAACCTAGACATCGATTTTAGTTCAACAGTCAACAGAAACAGAAATGTCTAGAACAACAGCCAATACAAACATCAAAGTTCAAAACAAATGTCAACATTAACATTAATGTGCAGAACAAGAGTCATAGTAGACATTGATGTTTAGTTCAACAGCCATATTAATATAAACATAATGCAACAATCAACATAAACATTATTACTTAGTACAACAGTCAACATAAACATACATTAAATACACAAGTAAGAGTCAACCTAGACATCGATTTTAGTTCAACAGTCAACAGAAACAGAAATGTCTAGAACAACAGCCAATACAAACATCAAAGTTCAAAACAAATGTCAACAGTAACATTAATGTCCAGAACAAGAGTCATAGTAGACATTGATGTTTAGTTCAACAGCCATATTAATATAAACATAATGCAACAATCAACATAAACATTATTACTTAGTACAACAGTCAACATAAACATACATTAAATACACAAGTAAGAGTCAACCTAGACATCGATTTTAGTTCAACAGTCAACAGAAACAGAAATGTCTAGAACAACAGCCAATACAAACATCAAAGTTCAAAACAAATGTCAACAGTAACATTAATGTCCAGAACAAGAGTCATAGTAGACATTGATGTTTAGTTCAACAGCCATATTAACATTAATGCATAATGCAACAGTCAACATAAACATTATTACTTAGTACAACAGTCAACATAAACATACATTAAATACGCAAGTAGGTGAGATCGATAACGGGGAGGGACTGAAGGAATTATTCGGGTTAGAGAAAAAAAGGCAAAAAAAAAAGAATAGAGAATAATGGGGTTCTAAATTATAAAGAATAGAAAATAATGGGCAAAATGAATAAAGAATTGAGACAAATGGTCTGAAAAATTGAAGAATAAAGAAATGAAGAACCCCCCATCCATACCCTATTATATACACCATGGACGATAAAGATAGTTAAGGAATTTCCTCATAACACTGGAATTTGGTTTCATTTGAAAAATATGATGAATATAAATCCTTGCTTAATCAATTAGAACAGATGAGTTGGGTTTCACAAAAGCTTGACTAGCCCGATGGTCAAAACTTAAACAGAAATGTCTAGAACAACAGTCAGCATAAACATCAATGTCTTATACAACAATCAACACAAATATGAATGTTCAATACAGATGTCAACGTTAACATTAATATATAGTATGTAAGAGTCAACCTAGACATCGATTTTAGTTCAACAGTCAACAGAAACAGAAATGTCTAGAACAACAGCCAATACAAACATCAAAGTTCAAAACAAATGTCAACATTAACATTAATGTGCAGAACAAGAGTCATAGTAGACATTGATGTTTAGTTCAACAGCCATATTAATATAAACATAATGCAACAATCAACATAAACATTATTACTTAGTACAACAGTCAACATAAACATACATTAAATACACAAGTAAGAGTCAACCTAGACATCGATTTTAGTTCAACAGTCAACAGAAACAGAAATGTCTAGAACAACAGCCAATACAAACATCAAAGTTCAAAACAAATGTCAACAGTAACATTAATGTCCAGAACAAGAGTCATAGTAGACATTGATGTTTAGTTCAACAGCCATATTAACATTAATGCATAATGCAACAGTCAACATAAACATTATTACTTAGTACAACAGTCAACATAAACATACATTAAATACGCAAGTAGGTGAGATCGATAACGGGGAGGGACTGAAGGAATTATTCGGGTTAGAGAAAAAAAGGCAAAAAAAAAAAGAATAGAGAATAATGGGGTTCTAAATTATAAAGAATAGAAAATAATGGGCAAAATGAATAAAGAATTGAGACAAATGGTCTGAAAAATTGAAGAATAAAGAAATGAAGAACCCCCCATCCATACCCTATTATATACACCATGGACGATAAAGATAGTTAAGGAATTTCCTCATAACACTGGAATTTGGTTTCATTTGAAAAATATGATGAATATTAATCCTTGCTTAATCAATTAGAACAGATGAGTTGGGTTTCACAAAAGCTTGACTAGCCCGATGGTCAAAACTTAACATAGGAAAAAACATTTTACAATCACGAGGACCAATTAGTACATACGGTGTTGGACTTAAAGGCAACATATACACGTATCTTGATTCTCTCTGGTTGTTAATCATGCTTAAAGCGATGGAAGTCGAAGTTTATATAGTATGTGTATTAACAGGGCTCTATTTGCGATAACGGCCATTGTTCAGGGGCTTCTAAGGTTAAACTCCATATCACAGTAACATATTTAGGAGAAGACTGGTGAAACTGTTGATTTCTACATCCATACATGTATACACTCAAAAATATAATTTTTAACATTAGTATATGATTCATTTGACTACCTTACAAAATGTTTCTTATGTTAACGAAAGGCAAATCTTCTATTTATAAACGCTACATAATTTTACTATTATTCTGTGGTGAACAATGGACTTTTTTGTCATAAGATATATTCAGTAATTTTAATGAAGTAAGAAACAAAAGTCCAAATGAAAGATATTTATTGATGTTGATCGTATACATGTATCCGATATCCTCGTTTTTATAGGAAATTGCGGTTATTGCAACCTATGCCGACATCACAAATATGTAAAGCATTCCGGGGGCAACACTAAATAATCAATTTAAAAGTTTTATTACCATCCATTATTCAATTGCTCATCACTGACAGCCCGTTTTAAACAAACTGTTACAGATAAACTGTTTTAAATAATATTGGTATATGATAGCTACTGTTATAAATTGTGAATTCTTATTCAAATTCTAAAATTATCTTACAATGCAACATACAGGTAATTCAATTTATTATTTTTCATTTAATGAAGCTTTGATAAATGAATTGAAATTGTAATTTATTCTAAAAGTATGCATCAATTACTCAGTTATTAGATATGCACAAGTAAAGGTAGCATCATCTAAAACCCGTATGAACAAAGTTTTATTTAGTTTGTGCTAGTCTTATATATGTAGTACTGTTGGCTGACATGTACATGTCTTTTATTGCAAATTTTATTTGTTGTATTCTGGTTTTTAATCAGATGCACTTGTCTAAAAATATTTGATAATTCTCGTATGTTTTCATCGTATTTGTTTCGCCAGCAGGGTACTTTACCCAAAGTTAATCGGTATTTTAATAGAATATACAATATTAAAGTGGTATATGTGTAAAACGAGGTCCAAGTTCTGAAAACATTATCAATGTCACATTTCTTGACATCTCTTAGGCTCCTTAATGGCTCAAAAACTACAATAGTGTTGACAATTTAAGAAAAAATAGCTATTACTAAAAATATATTTTTTCATAAGCAGGGTCCACTCTTTTTCATCAAAGTTTTCCGACGTTGCCTCTGTTAGTCGAATACATAACAGGAAAGTGACCTCATTCTAATATAAAATATTTAAAATGCGTGCACATTTTGTGATGCTTATTTGACAATTCCTTGAATAATTCATATCAAAAATATAGTTAGGTTTGATTTATTTTATTTCCAACACCTACGTCCGTTTAAAATATAAAAATTAAGAGATGTGGTATGATTGCCAATGACGCAACTATTCAATAAGACCAAAGGAAAAAGATGTGAACAAATCCAGGTCACCGCACGGCCCTCAACACTGAGAAAAACCTATATAGTAAGCTATATAGATGATGGCCTGTCACCAAATAATTTAAAGTTTGGTGATATGTTGAACGTATCTATCCATTGACCCAACTTGAAATAAAGGATACTACTGGTACGGTTAAGACTGCCTCATATCTTGACTTACGTCTAAAAATTGACAATGAGGCTGTCGGTTGAGAACAAAACTTTACAACAAAAGAGATGATTTAAGTTTCCCAACTGTGGTGAAATTTCAATTTTTATGGACCAACATTTCATCAGCGCCTGCATGTGGAGCATATATCTCCCAGTTGGTACGATATTCCAAAGCTTCCAATTCCTAACATTATTTCTTTGATAGAGGTTTTCTTCTTACAACGAAGCTATTACACCAAGGATTACAAGTGATGAAGTTGAAGTCACCCCTTTGAAAATTTTAAGGACGCCATCACGACTTGGTTTACAGTTATGGAATATCTTGTTGCACAGTTGACGACGGATATGTTCCAATTGTCATAACCACAATCCCGTCTTCTTTTCCACGAATGTGAAATCATCAAATGAGACTTATCACCAAACTTTGTACTAACATAAGCAACACGACGGGTGCTATATGTCCTTCTTTGAAGTTTAACATCCAGGTTTAACATGAAGGAAAACAACTCTCTGTTCTGGATGTCAATCGACTTAAACATGTGTAGATAATAATAATATTTCGAATGTCAAAGTAAACCTTAGAATTGTCAACATCTTGTGATTGTATTTTGAACCAAAAAGAAACATTCTCTATTAGTAAAACTGTTTATAATTTTAAATTCTCTTAACTACAAAACAATATATAGTGCAGTATGCGATGAATAGCGGCTTTATCAAGTATCAGATATTTTTATTTTAACGATTTTTAGGATAATTACCAAACAGTACCCAGTGTATTATGGCAGTATTATGCTGATATAGATGGTGATTTTGTTGAATATCCTGATAGTAACAGTCATCAATGCGACAAGAATGGCAATATTATCAGTCCATTAACGGAGTAAGTATTATTGTGGTACTTTTTCCAAATGCCTGTTCGGAAATTGGTTGACACAAATTAAAACAATTTTAGAAGTGATTGACCCAGGAGTAGCCATTTGGAAGGCCAGTTTCGATTATGATTAATATAAAATAAAATTTGTGCTTATTGGTTTATCAAAAACATTATAAAAGTGTCGATTTTGAAAACTGTATTTTGATATTTTGGTTATTTTTAGTTAAAACAATCATTGGTCACATGAAAATTCTGCTTTTTAAATTATTCTATCATTATTGTTTAGTCGAAGTATGTGGTCAATGTAAAAACAAAGGAAATAGATCTGTAATGTGTAAGAAAACAGCCATTTTGTAAACCAAAACGTCGCAGTTTTTAAGCTTAAAGCAGTGCAACTGAGGAAATGAATGAAGAATCACTATGTTGTTTTTGGTATATTTATAACTAAGACAAATTTTGCCATTAATTAAATATAATACAACGGGAACAAACTCTAAAAGTATTGTACATCACTTCAATCTTTCAGCGAAATGAAGCGAAGCAAGATAAGAATGAAATATTGATCCAAGGTATTGGTTTATATTTCAGAGACTGGTTTGCCGTAAAGCATACCAAAACAGAGAAAAACCTTGTGATTGTATACGATGTAGGATCAAACATAGAAAGTACTGTAGATAGTCAGGGGAGAAAATTTAGTGAAGTTGTTAAAGAAGCTATCAAACAAACTTTACAAACGCTAACACCTAATGATAAGGTACAAAATACTAATTTTCTTCAAAAATATTTTTTAAAACTTACTGTTTCTAGATTTACTAATTTGCAGATAAATTAAAAGTAAAAGTAGTTGACAATATACATGTATCTTGTAAATATGGATTATTGATATAAAAATAAAACAATACATATCAAACTTGTGATATACCCCTATATTAAGGATTGAAAGTTGAAAATATTTTTCTAGGTTTTTACTGTGAATCCGACATTTTCATTTGTCAATTTCAGCTATATGACGTAAAATTACGTGGAATGGTATTTCTTTCATCACACTAGACAATTTCTGCCGAAGTTTGTGTTTAAAAGTTTTATTTTCAGGTTCAAAATGTCAATAAACATATACGAAATGAAAGCAATTGACCATCACTTGTTTAACAAGAATCTCTTCCGCACTTCATTCAAAATGTGGAGGTGACTTGCTTTCATTTCGTATACATTTTCAAAAAACAGTTATATTCTATATTTAAACAGTTACAATATTTATCACTAGCCAATAGAACACGAGACAGGTAACAAAAAGGTGACAAAAACCCTGCGTAACCATTTTGATACTATAAGTTACAGTAACTACAAGATTTGTTGTTCAAATTACATAATTTTTATACAAGATGTGCACACAACTGTAAATGTTCTTTTTTCAACAAGTTTTCAAATACATAGGGCATTTTAACCTTATTTTGATCGATGGAGTTTAACAGAAAATCTACTCGTACATGATACATTACACAAAGCATTGTCGGCTTGCCTTTTAGATGCCTGTATTTGTCTCAATAAGGTTTAATTGTTCATAGATATACTTGTCCGAATATTGCTGCTGATGCTACTATTGACAATTACTCTTTTGATTTAGCTGCTTCTCATTTGTCCAATTTGTCAAACTATTCCATTTTACAGGTTAACATTATCGCCTTCAATGGAACAGCTCAGATAACAAACATGTGTAAGAATAAGTTATTCATCGCTAATCAAAGAAATAAAGATATCCTATCACAATTTGTAACAACAATGGGCAAACCTGGAGGTAACTATTATTTACTGTTATGTATATAACCATCTCTATAATCCTAAAAAAATGGACCATTGTCGGAAGATATCAAGACCGCCTTGATCACACGTTACCCTTTATAAAGAGTTTAAAATACTTATTATAATTTTTAAATTTTAACATTTATGTTTAAACACGTCAATATTTATAGAGTATCGTTGATCATCTCAACTAGATTGATTTTCTCGCTTGAGCCGGTACGGCGAAAGTGAGAAAAGCAATCGAGTTGAGATGACCAATGAAAATCTGTTTATCGCTATTTTACCTATGACGACGTTGTTAATTTCATTGATAACGGGCACGTGCTCCCTTAGTTTCTAGCGATAATTTTTCATATCACTCTACTGTGCTGAGAAAGGAAATTATCAGTCAGTAAGATCAAAGGAAAATTTCGTAAAATAGCGATAAAGGGAGCTATACTATTTCTCTTAATGTAAATGTGTCTGCTTCTTTGTGGTCGTTGTAAAAAATGAGAAGATGTCGTATAATTGCCTTTCCATCCCTCTTTTCTAATAATACCGTTATAATGTTTATCTAACAACTCAGCTTTATACATTCAATATGCAACTTTTATTCAGGAAGATCAGACTACAGTGTTGGATTGGAAGCTGCATACAAAATATTAGAAACAGAAAATGCGGACAAACAGGTAGTTAATAAGTAATGAAGATTTTGTTTTTTGAGATTTATTGCTTTTTATCAAATTTATAAATGTCCGTAAATAATTCTTAAATGCATTCAAGTCATTTGACTTTTACTTAGAAGATTTCTTTTGTTTGTTGTGACCTAATCTCTCCCATTCGAAGTGCATGATAAGTGTTTTTCAAAAACAATTTTACCAAAATATATAAGCCAAAATTTTGTCCTCAAGTAGGCAAAATTGACCGTAGGTTATTAGAATCTTAGCTGATTGGCTGATAGTTGACTCCACGAAAATCCAACAACTTAGCCTCTTGTTTATTAAAAAATTCTTAACTGAAATGCCATTTCATGTATCTTTAGAGCCAATGCTAACTACCCTGAACTCAATGTTCTATTTTAGTATTAATCTACCTGACGCCATATAAGTTTTCACGTTTTTGTCCATTTCAGAATAATCCCACTTATGTATCAGACATGATTATGTTTATAACCGATGGTAAAACACCGACTGTAAACACAACTAAGTTGTTTACAGTAATAGAAAATCACCAGAAAGCGATTGGTAGGAACGTGTCACATGCTGTGTTTTCACTTGACTCCAGCAGCAAACAAGTGAAACAGATTCTCACTAACATTGCAGAACAGCATGTACCAAATTGGCCTGTAGTAAGTTATTTTGTAATGTTATTGACAAATTCAGTCAGTTGATGAGCAAAGTGCAGTTTGAAATTCGACATATATAATGTTTTAAGTCATATACCTTATACCAAAAGTGTTGTTATTATTCTTAGGTCCTTTTTGGTCATATAGCTCTTCAACTGTTTCGGTTCTTATACATCCTTGGCTTTAAAATATTCGGCTTTGATCGTTCCTGATGAAAGTAAATCCAGATAAACACTTCGGACGCATGAAATTCATAAAGTGTTGTTTTAATTTTATACCTGATCCTTTATTTTCGTTAATGTCCTTTATTTTTGCTAATAGAAAGCCTAAGTTCCATGTTCATTAACTCCTTGTCAATGGTTAATTACAAAAGCAAAAAATATGAAAATACAAATGCTGAAATTGATTCATGGTAACGTTTCAGATGAAAACGGTATACTGTAAATGTATCACTGCCAGGTATTGGTAAAAATAGTTATCTAACTATGGTCTTTCAAATGTAGTAGATTAATCTTCAATAAAAATACACTAGTTTTTTAAACAATGCTTTATATGTTTGCAGGGCTTGAATATAACAATTAGACCAACAGGAGTCAGTAATCAAAATGGAATTGTTTACTTCTTTCCTGATTTGAAAGGATTTCCGACAGGTGTAGCAAAAGAGTTTACATCAAGTATACCGTTCACTGTAAACACTGACAAAGAATATACAGTCATAGCTCCTGTTATTGAGGACAAACTAGGTACAAACGTAAAAAATATATTGTATAAAGTAAAATAACAAAAGTACCGAACTCCACGGAAAATTCAAAACGGAAAGTCCTATATCAAATGGCAAAATCAAAAGCTCAAACACACCAAATGAACGGTATACCATAGTTATTTATTTACAGATAGATAACCCAAGTAAATGTATTTGCTTTTGATTGAATAAACATGCACGATAGAAAAACTATTTAAATCATGAAACATTGAGGCATATGGGGTTCATTAATAAACTTAAGTTTACAAATCACTTAGACAAAACTGACCTTAGACGACATTGTCTCTTCTGTTTAGGCGTATTTGTCTTTAATGCTCTTTCGTGAATTGTGCATTTGGCCCCTTTCACTTTTGATTTATAACTTACCTGACGAGGTTTACTCCAGAAATACATGCCGCATGCTGCAATCGAATCAAATGTTAATTTATATTAAATATTATGATTGATCTACATAAGATATGTCTATGTTCGTACTTTTGTAAGCAAATATAATTTCTTTTGAAGGGCTGAAAATGACAATAAGTGTACCTGTGATTGATAAATTATCAAATAATTCAGTAACTGGAACTGCTGCCGTTGATGTTTCCATGGCAACAATGTTTACAGAGATAGAAGATTTTGAGCTTGGTGTTCACAGCTATGCATTTTTATTGGAGAAAAGACACGGTTATATATATATCTTTTTGTATTATCAATTCAACCATCTTTACAAAATTCGACATAATTATAGATCTATATATACACATTTTTTGAAGAGTCAACAAGATAATGAAATTTTTACATAAGAATAGAGATGAAAAAAAGATGGATAAATATAGATACCAAAATAAGAATAGATACATAAAAACAATACATACTGTTGTAGAGATTCTAATATGAAATACTAGTAGTTTAAAAGTTTGATAAGTTAATGAGATAATGCCAGTTTCTCATAAATTAATTTCACACCATGGCCACTGTTAAAAGTTCTTCAATATTCACAATATGATAGATTCATTTGTGTACACTTGAGTTTTTAACATTTTCGCTAACTTCTGACTATTTAGTTAGATTTGGAAAAACAAGAAGTACATATCCCAAAAATATACGCAAGAAGGACGTTATTAACCAAACCAATTTTCTAAAGGAATTATTTTATATATTTTCTTTTAATACAAATTATTTCATTTTATTTAATGACGTTATTCGATGCAAAATTTCCCAAAACATGCAACAATTAGCAATATTTTATTCAACAGCACTATGTTGCACTGAAAAGCATTGTGATTCTTTAGAAATATGTAAAATTCTAGATATATTTTAAAATTTGTTATATAGGCTTTATTCGTTCAGTGTATGTTCACTTGTTTTTGTTAATGTCTTTTGATTGAGTTAAGCCATTTTAATTGATATTTTATATATATATAGTGTGTCTTTCTTTGTTGTGATGTTACACTATTGTTTCAGGTTAGGGTGAAGGTTGGCGCCCATTAAAACGTTTAAACCCGTTGCATTTGTTTGTATCTGTCCTAAATCAGGAACCTGATGTTCAGTGGTTGTCGTTTGTTGATGTGGTTCATAAGTGTTTCTCGTTTCTCTTATATCGATTAGACCGATGGTTTCCTGTTTAAACGGTTTTACACTAGTAATTTTTGGGGCCCTTTATAGCTTGTTGTTCGGTGTGAGCCAAGGCTCCGTGTTGAAGGCCGTACTTTGACCTATGAAGTTTTACCCTTACAAATTGTGACTTGGATGGAGAGTTGGCACTCATACCACATCTTCTTATATCTATTTGTAATATTCGAATTCCAGTGGGTTTTAAAATCATGATTTTAACCCAATGCATTATCAATCAATAGTTTCTGTTTATTTTTCACAGCACACGTTTTACTTCATCCGAAACTGAAAGATCCAGCTAACACTATACATGATAAAGGAGAGGATGATATCTTCCCATCAATTCAAACACTGGAACCAAATTTAAGTCAAGAACAAATCAAGAAGATTACAACTGAAGGAAAAATCGGATCTTTCTCTGCTAAGGTAGTGTATAAATTGTACTTTGATTTAAAGATAATTTGTAAGAATATGTTAGTATGTTTTTGGTGGGGCTCGTGTTGCTTAGTCTTTAGTTTTCTATGTTGTGTCATCTGTACTATTATTTGTCTGTTTGTCTTTTTATTTTTGGCCATGTCGTTGTCAGTTTGTTTTCGATCTGTGAGTTTGACTGTCCCTCTGGTATCTTTCGTCCCTCTTTTAGTACTTATTTATCTTCAATTGGGTAAGCGAGTTATACCGTTTTGAAAAAGGTAAAAAGAAAACTTATTTCAAACGGAAAAGCACATCCTAATTTTTACGGTGATGTTGCTTACCGAAAATACTGTAATTAGATCTTTGAATATTGTTTTTATTGGTATAAATAAAGATTTTGTTATCAGTAAATTTAAACCATATTAAATATTATTGTTATACACATATACATATGCACATTCACGGTTCTGTTATCTGTCGATACCAATAATTTGGCATTACACAAGGTCATGTTTATCTCTGACTGTTAGTGACATCTTTAAACCAAATCCATTGGATATTGAATGTGTGCGGATTGATTATTTAGTCTTAGAATACATTATTGTTTTCATTAGTTGTTAATGGTTTCGTACTCTCAGATCTATATTCTGTGTCTTTTTTATTGTGAGGAATGTATAAATACCCTGCCACATCCGGTCTGTGTTTTTGTTATTGGTTTTTCTGCTTTGTATCGATCTGATGACTTAAGCCCTTTTCAACTGATTTTTATAGTTTGTTCTTATGTTGTACTGTTACACCACTGTTCCAGGTTAGGGGAGGGTTGGTGACTTCAAACATGTTTAAACCCACCACATTCTTTATGTGCTTGTCTCAAGTCAGGAGCCCGTAGTTCAGTTACTATCGTTGGTTCATGTCTGTCATATTTGTTCTTTGCAAATTGTTTTGTTATACATTAGGCCGTTATCAGTTTTCTCAATTGAATTGTGTCATATTTGTCATGTCGGAGCATTTTATAGCCGACTATATGGTATGGGTTTTCTCATTGTTGAAGACCGTACGGTTGCCTATAATTGTTTACATCCACTTCATCTGAACTTTGGTAGATAGTCGTCTCATTTTCAATCATACCACATGTCCTTATTTTTATATAGATATACATTTTATGTATCTAAAACTATGGTTATATCATGATAAAAGTCAAAGATAACTTCTTACGATGCTTCAATTTCAGGTACGATTGTTGATTCAAATTCAGAAAGCCAAACAAAGTCAAAGAAATTACAGAAAAAAACCCGCAAAAAGGAGCCGAAGCGAAATAGGCTTTATTTTGTCTAGTTGAAGAATTTAGGGGTTTATGCAATTACAAAGTATACCTTTAGACTTTTTTATCAAGAGATAATAAAAATCATTGATGTACAGGATTATAGTAACGACAGTAAACCACATTTCGTAGTATTTTGTTGCAGATAAAACCAGGAAGGAGTACGTTTATGAGTAATATAGACATGCCACTCCAAGATTCAACTATTATGTATCAACATCTAGATGGTACACAGTTTGTTATGGTCATGGTTATGTTTCATTCAGATAGTGTAGTTCCAAAAATGAATGCAATCCCACCGGTAATGATAATACAGTCTTACTAATAAAACATTCAGTTAAATCTGTGTTTTAAATTTTAAAGTGAGTTAGTTTTATTTTAGAATTCTTACTGAAAAGCTTTCTGCTTAATTGAGGTTTATAAAACACTTAATTTATGTTATGTACATGTTTTTGTTTATGTAATTTATGATTATAATGTATACATATTTTAGGGCTTATAATCTGATATGAATAGAAACTTACGAAATTAGATTTCCTTAATTTTAGTTTTATGACAGTGCTTAGTGTTAGGCTGAATCATATAAATTTGTGAGTAACATACAAAGCCAATTAATGCCTACAAAGTCGTATCACTGGTGAAAGATGGTGGGTGTGAACATGCGGATGGTTTATACAAAAAGTGTATACAAATCATTATTTCTTTTACAAAATAACAACTTGTACACAACATACACATCATTCATTGACGACTATATATTGTCGTTTTTATGACACACAAAGGTGGCACGTAATGCCATAGTCTCGTTTATAAGGCCAAGTACCAACACGCTCTTGTATTCAATTGTCATTTCTATATATACAAAGACGGCTACATGATCATTTGTTATTTAAGGGTAACCACATAAAAAACGCACCATACCATAGAGTAGATATCAGTCACAGCTTTCAAGTATGTTCTATAGATGGTCACATTGTAGCACCAGCTGCTACAACAGTTAAGGTAACAGTAATTAGAATAGACTCTCGGGGTTTACAGCTTGTCATATTGTATAGAAACCTGTCTATTTATTGAAGAAGACTGTATGTTGACCTTTAGAATACTCTTGTTTCTTTGCTGTTTAAATATTCTCTTTTTCATAGTTACAAAGTCGTCATTTTTCGTAGATATACTAATATATGTTATATTTCCCTCTACATCGTACTTTTTGCGAGATACATGAAGTTCTAACTTCCATATTTTTTTTTTATAAATTGTGTTCTAAAAGTAAAAACAAAAGAATTATTTAGATCAAAAACTTTCACAAAAGTGCGTAGTTATTTAGATAGATAACATATTTGTTAAGTTTGATGGACTTTTCAAAAGATAGTCCGAATACATATGTGAACCAACTCGTATTGCAATCTTTATTCGTACCAGGCTAATTTCAAATAAGAGTTTCCAAAGAAGACTTTAAAGAAGCTAGCATTATCCTTTAACTTCAAGTTCTGCTATATAAGATTTTTTTTGTTCTCACTGAATAGTTCAATATTTGGTGACTAGGTTGATTGCATCTATTCCACGGAACTTGATTTAAAGGATATCACATGCATAGTTAAATCTGTTTCATATCTTGACTTATATTTAGAAATTGACAATAAGAGTCGACAACAAAAACTTTATTGCAAATGAGGGGATTTCATTTTCCCGTTAAAAACTTTCAAGTTCTGTTAAATAACATACCACAGCGTCTGCACAGTGATCAAGTATTTAACTTTCAATTGATATTCGTGGATATTCTATCATGTTTTACTTGATAGAAGGTTGCTACTTACAAGGAAGCTTTTAACCAAGTGTTCCTAATGTTAAAGTTTAAGTATACCAATCGAAAGTTTTATTATGGAAATCATAATGATGTGGTTCCCAGTTATGCACAGATTATTATAGAGACGAAATTGTACCACTTGTCGTAGCCACGATCCTATTCTCTTTTTTTTCTATTGTGACCACATACCGGGATGCGACTTATCCCCGAACCTTTACTTGCTAAGAACAACACGCCTAGCAACATGCTATGAGTGGGACAGGAATTGTGTACAATTTCGGAGCACTTGATATAAGCTCACACGACCTTGGTCTTACGTGTGGTTCATGATGCTCAATCATAAAATTTTCTGGGTAGTGTTTTGTGAAAACTTAGCAAAATTCCCACGCTTGTTATTTGGTTTGCCAGACGAGCATTTTGTCTCCATTAGACTAATCAGTGGCGCTTGATTCAAAACAGATGGAAGGGTAGAGTTGAGGAACATTAAAACCGAAAAATTCGAAACGTTGTGCCTACTTCGGCTAAGGCAATCCAAGATGGGGATAGTGAAGTATTGTTTATCTTTTCAATTGGTCATAGTGTTGTCGGTTTTTCTTTCATCTATCTATGTTTTTTTTTATTTTATCCCCTTTAAATATTCGAAGTGTTTGTTGTTTTCATTATGTTATCAGAGTGCCTTAAGCATAATGATTTGCGACAGTATCCGGTTTTAATAATTCTTTTTGAATTCATTACATTCGAGCAAAAGATTTTTCCCCATAATCAAATAATAGATTACCTGATTAATTAATAAGTTTGTAAATCTGATATTTGAAAATATATTATTTTTGCAAAAGACGAGATGTTGTAAGCAAAAACAGTTCACGTTCTTTCTTATCCTTTTTTTAAATGCTATAATATCACTTAATTTTGAAGAAAGTTTAAATATTCAACACATACGAAGATTGGTTTAAAATAACCAAAAACATTTGTGACACACTTATAGTAAATTGATTTTAGTATCAGTATTTTATAGTTTGAATCTAGTACCTTATTGGATGAAAGTGGTAAACGAAAGATGAGAAAAGTCTGAAGAAGATTCACATTGTATTTATTGTTTTTTTTTTGTATTTATGCATAAACATGTATATTACCAACGATTACCGGTCGATGATATTGATGCCTATATTTTAATTACAGCTTTCACCATCTGTATTTGTTGATTCAGAAGTATATAAGTTTACAGAGGAAAATCTACCTAAAGTTGGAACTTTATCTGATTTTTTGTCTGGTAGAAATAATACAAACATTATCAAAGAAGGTAAGACACTCTCCCATGGAGTATAAATTTATAGAAATCTATGAGAATTGTGTAATGATTACCTCGTTATATCGTTATTGCATAGTTATGTGCTTTTCTTGAACGGATTTTCGTGGTATGCTCGTTTCTGTTCTTTTTGTAAATCTCTTGATCACGATTTAAAAACGGAAGGGTTAAGATCTCAAAAAATTTAATTCAGCCTCGTCACAGTTTCGTATGCCTGTCCCAAATTAAAAACCTCGGCAGTAAAAAGAGAGAGAAGATACTAATGTAAAAGAGGGACGAAAGATACCAGAGGGACAGTCAAACTCATAGATCGAAAACAAACTGACAACGCCATTGCCAAAAATAAAAAGACAAACAGACAAATAATAGTACAGATGACACAACATAGAAAACTAAAGACTAAGCAACACGAACCCCACCAAAAACTGGGGGTGATCTCAGGTGCTCCGGAAGGGTAAATGGCGGATATTTCATTGTTTCTTTTAACTTTGTTTACAGTTTTGTTTAAACTCGAGATCATTTACAGTTTTGTTTAAACTCGAGATCATTTAAAGATGATGTATATACACCTATCTATTTGTGATTACTTTATGTTGCCCTTTAGATGTTATCAGTTATATTTGTCGTTTAATTGCTGTGTCATTTACCTATTCCTCACATATCATTTTATTCATACAGATACTAAATATAAAACTATAAGTAACATATCGAAGACTGGGAGTGACCTGATGTGCTTCAAAACGGTACTCAGTTCCTACAAACTACTTGAACCGTCTTGAAAATTAAGATAATAAGACCTAAAATGGAAGATGGATGGACTGAAACGTAACAAATTAATTGTCATACGTTACATTTAGGTTTTTACAGTGTATCTTGTCACAATAGCGTACATTAAACCTTCGAAGAGTTGACATTTTCACTACAATTAAGAATACCTTTTTTCAATAAAGTCCTTGAAAGCAGCAATTACCTTATAAAGACAATTCTGCTTGAAAAGGAGCTCTAGTTTCAAATGGAAGATCCTACTCCATATGCTTGAATGATATGACATGAACATGGGAAAATCGATGTTTTAATAGGGAAGATTATCGCTTTTGTATGACGTTAAAATTCTAAATGTTAATCAATGTGTGAAGCAGATCTAAATGGATCGGTACTGTGTATTTTAAAGATAAATTGGATTGATCAATATAGTCATCAAAAGTATTCAGTGGAAGGACATAGTTTTTTTTGTTGAGAAATCAAAATGCGAATGCGGTCAGCCTCATACGAATAAAAGGAAAGTCAGCAACAAAAGGGGCTCAGGTGGATGCAGAGGAAACCGTTTCTTGAATAAGCCCATCGCTTAAGTGTTACAAACATATACTCGATATGTTGTCAATAAAAAAAAATAACACATTGTAATGATGTCTGTCTAAGAAAAGTTTGTTTTGCAAATCATGGTAACAAGGAAACTATTTCACCAAGGGTTCCAAATGGTAAGTTGAAGTCATCCATCCGAGATTTTACGAACGCAATCATCATTTAGTTGACCGTTATGTAAAACCTGTGTCACAGATGACCACGGATATGTACTACTTGTAGTAACATCTATCCCGGCCTTTTTTCTCGATTGTGACTTTACCAATTGCGACTTATCACTGTTTCATTTTTTAATTCCAAGTATTAATATGAAGGTGCAAATATTTGAACAGGAACTGCTTATCTTTTAGAAGCACATGAGTGCATCTAGGTTTTTGACGTGGTTCATGTTGTTCAATCGTTAATTTGTGTATAGTATTAATTATTGATTTTGTCATGTTTCTTTTTGACTATGCATTTGTCTGTTGGAATTGTGATTGTCCCTTTGCCCCTTTGGATCTTTTATCTCTTTTTTTAGACATTTTTTTTCTATATTGAAGATATTCTTCTCATTATTGCAGTCATTTAAAATGTTATCAAGAATCGTCAACAATTGTCAAGGTTTATAAACATCGAATAAAATGAGCTTATCGGTAACAGTAGTTTACAGGTGTTGAAATCACGTTAAACCATTTAAAATATACAAATAAAGATAAAAGACAAAACTTGAGGTAAACGAACCGAGAATTAATGCGTCGATATGATAAAGGTTTCCTGCTTTGTATGCATTACCCACTATATGAATTCCTACGCTGTCAAAATTTCAAAACAGGGAATAGATGGCAATTGCTAAACTTACATAACTATTCTGGTATCAAGAAATCTAAGAACGCGAAAAAACGTCTATTGTGAGTTATGTCACAGACACATCGAATCGGACAATCAATTAGTAAAAGTGACCATAAACCTTGTGAGTTCTTGATTTCAGTTATCCTTCCACGTAACCTTTTTTAGAACGGCATTTTAATCAGAAGCACATCCCTGTTAATTAAGTCTGTTTAATGTGTACATAAACGCGTATAACGTATTAGTTGATATATGTGAACGCCATACGGTGGGATCAAAGTTGATACTGAAAATGGGATAGCTGAAATCATCATGTTTGTCATAAATTCTAATTTGTAGTCGCTATTCTGTGTTAATACCAAGAAAAAGATAAAAATCAAAAGCAGACTTTGTAGTTGCGGTAGAATTCATCATTTCAAGTTTACTAGGAAATACTAGACGTAAGCCCTAACTTAAACGTTGGTTATATGGTGACAGTATACCAAACCTATACCTAAAAAAGGAATTAAAGAATTTGCCAAGATGTTTTTTTTTTGTCGTTCAATCGGTTGTGTATGAATAATTCTGTTATACATGAGTTTAACAAGTTAATCAAGTGTGATGCTCAAGTAGTTGTTTGTTGAAATATTAATCTGATACAATATAAACAATTCCAGGAATTTTGTTATATCTCCGTCGATCTGATTTTTAATCGGTGTGGTTCTTCACAAAGTAAGATTTTTCGTGACCTGAACCAAGAATAGATCTTTTGAATATTTAGGAATCCACATCTATTTGACACCAGGTTTGCGTATACTTCATCACAATATTATTAAATCCCATCCTTAATTTTATTAATTTTAGTGTTCAAAGAATGATATTAAGAATTTTAAACAGATGTTCCGTTGAACATTGAAACAAGCCAGCTATATACGGATTCTAGCTAAGCTTTGATATTCAGTATTTAGACAGCAAAGTTGGATAAATGATTATGAAAAGAGGCGGATGATATCAAAAAGGTATCCAGAAGTCGAAGTCGTAGAGAAACTGACAACGCCATTTAAAAATATGGAAGACGACGAAAAGACAAACAAGTCTACACTTCACTACATAGAAAAGTATAGACGACTAGTACCACCGTACGTATATTTCTTTACCAAACAGGGAACAACTTTCTTACATCAAATCACCATTAACTCTACAAAAAGTGTTTCCTTATTTATTTGATAGGGATTAAAAAAGAAATATGGCATTCCTTGATTGAAACTCAAAGTTTGATCGACTATTGGAGAAATTCTAGAAATAAAGCCATAGAAAGGTAAATCACTTATATTGAATATTTTAAACAATAGTAGTGTATTTATAAGGATGCAACAAATGTTTAGAAAATCAGAATAACTTTGTTTAATTTTACAAAATCGTTTACTAAAGTATTTTCAATTTTTTGTATTCAAGCAGTGTAGAATTGAAAGTATCAGCAAGCTTCAGAGTTTTCTAGTACTAATATGTATTACCAATTGAGATACACATTTACTCAATAAAGATAACACAATTTGCTAGATGAGTCAAGTAATAAGTATGCCTTTACTTGAATGTAAATGATGAATAGAGAATAATACATGGTAAAATCCGTATCACATGCGGTATCAACCCGAGTAAACAATATCGTCCAGAGGGCCGAAGTGTCTTTCAAGGATGCCGAATTGTCCTGGCGCCGATTTGTCTCGGCGCCAAAGTGTCTAGAATTCGTCCATGTTATGTGCTTTAGAGGAAAAAGAAGAACGTCTTTCTAACTCTGGGATGATTTTGTTCTTAGTTTATACAAACACAATCAGAAAAACGAAGTCCGATATGAACAAATTTTCAGGCATGGTTGAAGTAAATTCTGTTTTTCTCCCATTTCCAGTGTTCGCAGACTGCGTCTTAAACCTCTTGTAGTCGCTAATTAAATGTGGTTACATTTCGTATCATGCCAGGAAATACAGCAACTGGACGTCATATGTCCAACTTTGACGCGTCATTCGATATATGACGTCACGTAATGTAATGATGTTACATTGAAGACCTATTGAAGAAAAAGATTACACTATCTAATATTAGGTTTCATTTGAAAGAGATGCGGTGAGTGCTTGCATAAATTAAATATATTGGCACACGTGTCCCTCCGGAAGCAAGAGGGTTAACATTTCCGACATTGCCGTCTGCTGAAATTTCAAGCGGACAACACTGAGTTCCGGAAAAAGTCTCGATATGTTCCAAAAGGGGTGCGATACAGGGTATGCGATACGGAGGTGTGATACAGGGTATGCGATACGGAGGTGTAATACTGGGTATGCGATACGGAGGTGTCATACAGGGTATGCTATACAGGTCTGGAGTTTCCATATTTATCAAATATTCTAAATCGCAGTAACAAGACTAACTATATGATAACAGTTAAAAAATTACAGAGTAACGGGAAATATATAAAACAATGCATAAAACTGTTATTTTTTTTATTGACAAGCACAATCATTTCATAGATATATAATTATAAATTATAACCATACTTTATTGTAAGCAATTAATGTTTAAAAATTCATCATGAAAAATAAAAACAACATAAATAGCTGTTTAATCCGCTTCTTACACTGTTTTTCAGATTTTTTGGCTCACCATCTGGAGTCTTCAAAATGTATCCAGGGGTAGCCTTAAGCAACACATTTGATCACATTCAGTACAAATGGTAATAATTCTTTGATAATGTACAGCTGTTATAAACGTCCAGTAGTGAGTCTACTAAGTTAATTTTTTCCTGGTAAATAAAGGCAACAGTAGTATACCGCTGTTCGTGAATAGACTTTTTTCATATTATCGACTTTTGACAAATTAGTATATAATTTTTCGACAGGTAACCTACTCTGTGGTAGGATATTCTGGTACTCGGTCAAGTACAAGCAACTAAAAAAAGTAGAATCAACCTTACAATGGTTGCAATTTGGGGAAAAATTAACTGTTTGCCGATGATTTAGTCGTGTAAAGAAAACCTAAAACAGTTGAATTTTTCCCAAAATGCACCAATTGTAAGTTTGATTTTACTTCTTTTGGTTGATCTCACTTGCCCAAGTACCAGAATGTCCTACCGCAGTGTAGGTAACCTGTCGAAAAAATTATAAACTCCGGTGTCAAAAGTATATAATATGAAAATAGTCTATTGAATCCCCGTAGTCACTGGCTGGTTAGTTATATTTCTGTCGTTTTCAATCTAATTCAGGTATATATTTATTGACAGATTCAGAAATCTCTTGAAAAAATGTTCTTTCAGGATATCGAAAAGTTCGTTTAATATAATCAACAGTTGATACATGGTAGAAGAATAACAAATGATACATTGATCAAAACAAATATAAAGAGTTTACAACTTTAAATTTATAAAAAATTTAATGATTTGATGAAAAATGAATTCGTAGTGATATTAAGACAACAAGGATTTTTCTATCTTACATGATAAAATCCAATGTATACTTTTCATTAATAAAATACATATATAAAAAAAACAAGTCACTAAATGCGAAAGAAATATATTTTCAGGTACAAGAAAAGTGTAGCAAGAAATCAAGACCTTGTGTTTACATCTGGCAGAATCAGCGAATTTACAACTAAAGATGTTATGATTTTAAGCAGAGCTCTTTCAGAAAATATGTAAGACTATAAATATTATTGTTTAATTGTAAGCTTTCTTCTTCAAAGGTTACCATGCAACTGTATATTACTATTGCTAAATGGATGGATCAATGACTGTTTTACTTCCAGTGGCAAGTAAAATGGTAATTCAGTTTGATAATACGTTAACAGGATATGGATATTTACCCTGCTACTGGACCGACACGCTGATCCGGATTTTAACGTGGTAATTCACAAAATAAATGTCCACTTGAAGACATGTCAGCCTAGCCAGACACAATATTCTAACTCCAGGTCGATCAGTCTTTTGTCTTTCTCCATAATACGGCGTGGTTTGCGGTGAAGCAGCAAACACCACTGTTCAAGTCTTTGGTCTTACCAGGTCGGTGATCAAACATACGACCTCCCACAATCGAGACAACCGCGCTACCACGAGATCATCGCGACCGTTACTATTGTTAGATAATCCATGCTAGAAAGGAGATAAAAGACTTTCTAATACTTTAGTAAATGGAAATTGAATTCAAAAAACACTTTCTAACATTTTGCCTCTAATTATCATTCTCAAGTTGGTATATTGTCTGTAAATGTTACATTTGTTTCAGGGATAGTAAAGACCCAGGGACAGTTACTTCATTACAAGGAGTTGTTGGAGCTACTTTAACACATAGTCAACTTACAGCTATGTTAATTAACAACGTATGTATATATAGGGAAACGTACCGCAGTGTATAGGGACATTTATCGAATCTTTACCAATTGAAATATAATTTGTAATTAAGATGTATGCAGTTTCTTAACATTTCATTTTCTAGTCCAATAATAAAAGCAACATTGGTGACATATTAGTATTAGCAGTTTAATTTATAATATACTAATATAAAACAATAATTAAATCAGTAAAAGTATTATGCCAATCAAAATTATTGGACATTTTTTAGACATTTGCCTAATTTAGCCAGATGATTGATCTTATAAATTAGTAATATCAACCAAACGATCCACACAATGATAATAGTCCTTTATACGTTTGGTGCCTTCCGAAAAGCCTTTCTGGATTAACCTTTATCAGGAACACTCGTACACAAATATTTGAAAGCCTATATGATGTATATATACTTGAACAATTGAGGACCTATATGACCAAAAACAGACTTAAATAGCCAAATCCATCAAAGGTCAACTTTACTTGAGGGTGTTTGAAACTTCTTAATAGTTTCTAAATTTATCAACGAGGAATTAAAGAAGTATGTTATAAATCATGTCAGTCCAAAGCGCCGACACTTACTGAAGATACCACATACATAGGACTATTAATTCACCAGCAACGGTATCGACCCAGTGCTAGCAAATAAGGATAACAATTTATGAAGTATGCACGTTCGAAGCGCTTTTCTGGATTTACCATTATGAATTTTAAACCCCGAAACATTTGAAAGCCAAAGATGTAGAAGTTTTTTAACACTCGAGGAGCTACGTGACTAAAAAGGGACATACAAAGGATTGCCAAATCGATGTAAGGTCACTTTTACCTGAAGGAATGGAAAACTAATTTTCTTAATCATTTTTAACTTTATCGATGGGGAATTTAAGAAAAATATATTTTCAAAACACTGACTACTGAGCTGATGATACACTCGGACACTATCTACAAAGTACCTTCATCATTATCTCAATATCAAGCAAACCGAATTTATTGGTAATTAGAAATCAAAACATATATTATTAATCAATATTTTTACGGTGACAACTAAGATTTTGAAGGATGCATCACCCGGGCAATGTAGCTGCTTTTAACATATCGTTGATGAGCTGATGGCTGTATTTCAAAGAGAGAGGCAAAATATACCAAAGGGATATTACAACTCATTAGTCGAAAAAAACTGACAACGCAATAGCAAAAAACTAAAACGATCAAAAGACAAAAACAGTATACAAAAACACAACATAGAAACCAAAGACTGAGCAACACGTACCCCACCAGAAACCTTCAACTGAAGAATACTCATGAATAATACTAGATATAAGAAGATGTGGTATGAGTGACAATGAGACAACTCTCCATCCAAGTCACAATTTGTAAAAGTAAATCAGTTTAAATAATACTAGGGCTATAATTTCAGTACATCAGACGCATGTTTCGATATGATTGAAATCCAAAAATTTCTGACAGTCGTGCCACATTTTGCTAAGGTCATCTATGCATTTGGATAGATAACATTTGTTTTCCAATGTGTCATGAACCGTAATTTTTACAGAAAATGCCCGTATCAATGAAGTTTTATGTCAGCACAGGCGTACTAAGTATTAAGCAGATGATGTCGTCTGGGATGCGTCTACCACCAGTGGCATCGACCCAGTTATTGGAAAATTTCTTTAGATATCAGGCTTATGATTAATAACGCCAGACGCGCGTTTCGTTTACACAAAGACTCCATCAGTGGCGCCCGAATCAGTAGGAATGTCAAATCAATGCCAAGGTTGAAGAGCACTGAAAAACAAAAAAATATAAAAAGCTATACTAAATCCGGTTAAAGACATGTGTTTATAGATAGAAAAACATTAGTGTTTCATAGACATAAAATGTGATCATAAGGCGATGTGAATTGTTTTATAAATCGTTAAATTAATATAAAGACAAATCTTCTATTAACATTTAATGAAAAGGAAAACAACGCTAATTTTGTATATATAAAATCCCTTAACTCACTTGACAAAACCAAAAAGCAAATGTACAATTGTTTTATTATTAATGTTCCTCATCGCAAATACTATACATTACTCTTTGTTGTTCTTAAAGTTTCTGCTGATGAATTTTTGTAGGTAGACGATTGTACGATGAACGGTTTAGAGTGTCATATTATTGATAATAATGGGTAAATAAATATCATTCTTGAAAAGTGTTTTTTCTTAAGTTACCTATAATCAAACCCACAATAACTTGTTTTTATTGGACAGTTAAATGTGCTCTTTTTTTTTAAATCAAATACTTACTACGAAATTAATAAAAATTAAACCTTATGGCGATGAGACAGCAACCCAACACGAGGATAGCAAGACTTGGCGGAAATCAAAAGGATTTCAGCAACGGATAAGTGTTTTACTATTTTTTTAAATCTAAATGGTTATGAAAAAATAGGAAAAAATATTAAAAAGAATTTTGTATATAAGCCACAGAAAGCTTTATCTTAAGCCCTTGTTGGTTTCATTTTAAATTGCTCGTATCATTTAATGCATATCTTAACATTTAAAATTGCATGTGTTTAAACAAATATTATTCTAAATTTTAGATATTTTCTAACCTTTGGAACAGAGAGACAAAATGGAAAATATAAATCCCATCTGACACAGAAATTTCCTTGGTTAGCTTCACAACTTATAAGAAAAAATCTTCTTAAGGTAAAATATATTAGGAATTTTGCGGTTCACGTCAACGGGTTATACTCGCATTATATGGTCCAATCCTTAAACAAATAAATTAAGGATTGCGTCACTGTGAATGTTTTATGAAAATTTTACCAATGTAAAATATATCCATAAACTTAGTTAGTGCATCGTCGTATAGCATGATAATTATCGAGTATACGGTGAAATTTAACAGATATGTGAAGTCATTGTAATGTGTGCTAAATGAATTTTGAACTGAAATGAAATTCTAACACAAAGACCATCTGAAATTCGTAACATAAATCCATCAATTCTTGTTCGGATTTCAAGATATATTACACCTTGCCTTATGAGGTACTCGGAAGTGCTTCCTTCGAATAATTTCTTGGGTGAACCGAAATTTTAGTAAAGTAGAATTTTAAAATACAATAAATACATTGTAAATGACTGCTATCGACAAGTTTGTTAGAATAAAGGAAAGAAAGTATAACTCTACTATGAATGAGCAAATATATATTCAATATTAAGTATCAGTAAATCATAACTAGTGTGCTGTAGATGTAATAACACTATTAATTTTGTGCATGCGAAGCTCTTTTGTGAATTAACCTTTATCAGGAACGATCAACCAAAACACTGGAAAGCCAAGGATGTATAAGACATAAACACGTGATGAGTTTATAACCAAAAGGGTCCTAAACAAATAGCCAAATTCATCTAAGGTCAACTTTGCCTAATGTAGTTGGAACCTAAGTTTGTTAAGAATTTCTTAAGTTATCAACGAAAAATTACAGAAATGTTTGTTACAAATCATGTCCGTATCAAAGCACGGATTACTGAGTTGATGATACCCTCGGTGACTAACAGTTCATCATCATCAGCATAAGTATCGACCCAGTGCTTGTGAATGAAATAACACTTTGAATTTCGTGCGTCCGAATCTTTTTTCTCGATTATCCTTAATAAGGAACGCTAAAACCAAAACATTTGAAAGCTAAGGATGTACAAGACCTCATTACTTTATGAGTTATTTGGTCAAAAGGGACATAAAAATAGCCAAATTGCTATAGTTTTTATATGTTTGGTTGTGTTACTGTTTCATAGACATATAAATCATTTCTCCTTTTTCGTAAAATTTAGCACGTTTGGTGTACCAGCATGTCTGAAGGTAACCACGAGTTATCTTACTCGATACAAATACCAGTTATAGAACATGACGTAGGAGCTGCCGATGTATGTAGAAGATATGTGATTGGTGCAGTAAATGGCACAAACTTGTTTATATTGGTAGTAAATGGGCGTGGTGAAAATAAATGTACAGAATCAAAAGATCAAACGGAGGTACTTATATGTTGTTTTTTTCCGAATTTTCAGAAAACGAGACTGACATGCCGACATGCACATTATTTGGTTAGACAACTTGATATATTTAGAAGGTGACAAGGAAACAATAGAAATCATAAATCGGAGAATAACTGGCAATCGACAGTTAAAAGAAAAAAGAGACTGGCACCGTTCAGCAAAACAAGAGGTTCTTAAAAGTTTTCTCAATCAAAATTTTATCAAAATGAACCGTGCGTCAGAACCGCTTTCTTTGATTATTATTCATCAGGAACGCTTAAAAATCCAAACATATGAATGCCAGGGATGTATACAAACGTAGAAACGTTCGGAGCTTTAAACAGGACTTCAAAAAAATGCCCGAATTCTTCAAAGTCAAATTTGAATGATTGAGTTAGAACTTTAGTTGCTTAATGATTAATTAATTCATAAACGAGGAATTTAAAAAAAAGTATGTTATGGTCCATGTCATCACCTTAGCACTGGCTAATGATCTGATGATGATTTATATTAAATTTCTTCAATGCCTATACAGATTATTGCACATGTTGGAATTTTATATAAACTGTTTAATATCAACATTTACTGTTGATATTTTCATAACACCCAAGTTGTCACGTTTTAAGTTAGGTTTTTGTTTTCAATCTTTAGTCTTTGTGATAATTAGGAGTTTTGTAGACTTTTTTTGTCTGTTTATCTTTTTCTGTCGTCCATGGTGTTATTTGTCTTTCTTTAGCTGAATTTGATGACCTTCTGCTATCTTTTATGTTTGTATCAATAATTTTATTTTTTCAACATGTCATCTTTACTCTTATCGCTTTATATAAAAATACTTTATGTCAGTTCTGAAGTATATGCTTCATATGTTTATATCTTGGTTATAAAAAGTAGGCATACAGTTTGAATTCATCATTTGGCCAAATCAATGGCATATGTATTTTGCAGACACAAAACAGCATGCTGTTATATAATTCTAAATGAAATACTTCTGTGAATAATACGGATATGAGTTATGAAATAAATCGTATATTCTGATCAGGATATCCTAGGATATGATAACCATTTCAGAATCATGAGTGCGGATAAGTACGCTTTTATAATAGTTTGTTCCCCATTCAGAGCTAGTTACTATTATTTAATTTAAATGTAAGATACCACAGAAAAGTAAAGTATGTCTCCTAACTTGACTGGAATCTAGAAATCGACAATGAATATCGGTTAAAAACTAAACTTTACGACAAAAGAGATGCTTTTCATTGTGTACTTGCCATTTCTTGGTAGTAACATTTCCGCTGGATATGAAATATATATCTCCCAGTTAATACGATACTCCAAAACTTGCGTTTCCTATCATTTCTTGATAGAGGATTACTGCTTACAAGGAAGATATTGAACCATAGTTCCTTGTTGCAAGTATGAATTCATCTCGTGGAAGGTTATGAGGATTCGATCATGATTTGGATGAACGTTATGAATTATCTGCGTCACGGATTACCACGGATTGTCGTACCCAGTAAAACGGAACCTTTTGCCTCGATTGTGACTTCACCATCCCTAAGCAACACGGTGGTTGTCACATGTGAAGTAAGATATTATAACCCTTTCGAAACACCTAAGATCACCTTGTTTTGGTGGGGTTCATCAAACTAGGTCATTAGTGTTCTATGTAGCGTTTTGTAGACCATCGTTTGGTATCATTTTGCTGGCGAGTTTTTTCAATTGTGATTTTTTTTGTCCTTTGTTGTTTTCTGCCTCTTTTGTACAGATTAAAGAATAATGATTCGTTTTAAATATGAACTTAAATGCGGCATTTTACCATTAAAATAATATTGCTCATCAAAGAATCAGACAAAAATTTCGTTAAAAGTAGAAAATTAGATCATAAGGTAATCCCTTTTTAAACAACTAGATCTATTAGCTTCAAATGCTTAACAAACGACCATTTTGTTTGGTTACACATTTCATGCCTATTTTATTTTTTACAGGTATGCGAGTCGTGTGGAGCTACATATGCTAAATGTAGCCAGTGTATTAACGGGAACCAACTCACATGTCAATGTCCCTGTTACTGTGAAGTAGATTTTGACCAGTGTTCAAGTCAGTTTAATGACACCAACTCTACTACCTTCCCACATTCAGCATGCTACTGTACGTGTTATTTTCATATATGTATTTAACATGATCCCGGTCAAAACTTTGCGCCTCATGCAAAATCGGGCTTTGGAATAATTAAATTCATTTCGGTTTGGCTGTTTATTTAAATTATTTGCACTTTTTTTTGTTATCCAAAAATTTCAGAAAATTGATTTTCATAAAAATTTATGAATTTATCGATTCTTTAAAAGTCTTGAAAATGGTGCTGACAAACAATGTTCTGTGCGTGTGTCCAATAAACTAGGAATTGTTTCTGTTTTCAATTAACTAGAATCTAAGGCTTTTGTGTTCTTTAGTTAATCTCGCAGATATCCCGAAAATTTCAAACCGTCAACACTTTAGTGAGGACGTATTCTTCACAGTCTTACATTTTCAATGAGGTCGTGACGAGAAAATAAGTCAACCAGTTCATACTACTAGTACCACGAGGGAGAATTCTTGATAATCTTGTCTTCCTTATATTTTCGATTGGCTCGCGCGGGTAGTCATTAAGTAAGCTTGAGCCTCAATTACTAACAAAAGCGGAAACAAGTTGCTTTTTAAAAAAAAAAAGTCAATACGTGAACCTTAGAACTTTTTTTATGCTAATTATTATTTCAACTGAATTGTAAATTATATCTCAGTATTTTCATTACCATGTGTGTGGAGGATGATATTTTCTTTTTTTTGTAAATCAGGACAATTATGGCATGTTGAGAGTGGTGTTATATATAAAGTAGGGAGATAAGGAATGTTTTTATTTCAATAGTTCATTTCTGGATGGTGTGTAAAATGCAGAAAAAAGATGCTACAACAAAATTTATATTTTGTAATATATTTTAGCGGTATGTTGACGATTCTGAAAGAAAAATTAAATGTTTGGGCTTGATGTTTGTGATGTCGTATAACAGAAAAAATGATTATGCATATGTCATGCAGCAGTGGTGAAAAACTAATACAGAGTCAGAAATAAAATAACGAATGTCTTTTATAGAGACTGAGTGATGATAGATACATTCAGAGTTAAGATAATGAATTTCTATTGATAGTAATTAAGGCTCTAAATTTTTATCAAACTTAAATATAAATAAGGAAACAAAAGCAATAATTATAATAAATGACCGCGATGAAATCAGGTAGTTAGTTTTCAAGTATGAGTTGTTTTACATTGTCATTTTGAGGCCTTGTATAGCTTACTATACGGTATGGGTTTTGCTTTTCTCATTGTTGAAGGCCGTAATTATTACAGCCGATTTCATTGAGTGTGTAGGAAAAGGTAATATCTTTGGTTAGCTTGCTTGCTTGCTAGCTGAACCGTGAAGTCATTATTAGGTTAGGTAAACCACCCTCCTATATGAGTAGACTAGTCCCACAGATAACAAATTCTATCAGTCTGTCGGACTAGTCTACTCATAAAGGAGGGTAGTTTACCTAATCTAATAATTACTTCACGGTTCAGCTAGCAAGCAAGCTTACCAAAGATATTACCTTTTCCTAACGTGAAACTGATTGAAATCGGTTGTAATAGGACAGACAGATGCAGATATGTGCATGATGGTGAAAATATACCACCTATGGAGGGGGCGCTCCTATAACTTGTTTGTATAACTTTCCATTAAACTCAAATTTATTGTTTTTTAGAATAATTAAACAAATGCAGTCTAATCTTTTTCGTTGAGAATCTTTAAAGGATATTCTTTTGTGTCAATTAATTCTTCTGCATTGATAACTGTTTCTTTTAAATTATCAATGATCATATTTGTGTACATTTACGTTTCATCATAGGCAATAAGAATGCATTCCCTTTTTACCTCGTGTGTTTTATTAATGAAATCTTTTGTATCTTGAACTTAAAAGTTATGCCTCTTCAAAAATGGTTTTATTACAGAGGATGACCTTGAGGTCATTCCGATGTATTGCTATCGCCTAAATTTCCATTATGCAAATTAGTTTTGGGATTTCAACCGATCTATAAAAATTATAGATCCGCGGTTATTACAAGGGAAAAAAGTGCATTTTTATACCTGCGATTCCGTTCTCCGTTCGTACGATGTTTCATCAAAAAATGGAATCATTTCAGTTGTTGATTTAGTACTGAAAATTTGACTGAATTATCTCCTTATTAAATACGGTTTTATATGTTTAAAAGGTGTTTAAGAAAGAGGTCAGGTGCTCATGTTCATTCATAAAATTATCGTTCATTCATGAATTTATCGTAAAATCAAAATCACTACACAGGTCACACAGGTTGTATACGTAGTGTCAAAAGATTACCTGTTTAGTATCTAAAAATAGACAAACTTAACTGACTCCCCTTACTGTAGTGTGTGATAACATTTTGTGAGGGAATTCGATGTTTGCTATACCACTACATGTTCATTTCAACGCACTTTATGACGATACCACTTTATCAATATGAATGAAATTTTTTGCAGTGTTTTAAGAAATAATTTTACTTTAAAATCGCGTATCATTTGTGAACTATTAAATGTTTTACAAGGACGAATTTTCTGTATAAAGTCAATAATTGTGTGAACTTTTGAAGCCCAAACTTTTTACAGCCTTAAATACGCTAATGAAAGATCCGAAAACTATACCCATGCAGAACGACATGTTTTTGAAATTGTAGCAAAACTTTTGGTTGACAAATTTTAATTCGTTATTGCATAAATATTAACTTGAAATATCTGTCATTTTCTCCCTACCCAGTTTACCTCTATTACTCATTATGATGTGGACTTGACATTGTTATTGAATCTTATGCAATTTGATTGGATTAAGTTATTATTAGATTACCTTCAAACTGTTCATGCTTTTTCGTACGAGTATATTGATTAAATCAGAGCGTGCATGAATGTGTACAGAAAATTAAATGACCTGCAAACTGGACACTGGACCAGTCCATATTACGTTTTATCAATGAATAGATTTTTTTTTTATTTCCCAAATTACAGGGCCCATAAAGGGCATAAAATCAGATACAATTGATTTACATAATTGGTAACAACAACAATAATAGCGGCATATAAATAGATATTTAGTATATAAGCATTGGTCAGAATCAGATGAACGAAACTTAAGGTATGAAAGGTAACAACTGCCACTTTTTATCTTTTCACATAATTTTCCACATACACATTAGATAAATTATTTTTGATAGCCTATTGCGGAGAAAAAAGAGAAAGTTTACTGTATTAACGTTCTATTCCATTAAATACGCCATTTTTCGAAGATAAATGCAGAAAAACATTTATGAACGGCTACGCCAGGTAAAATTGTTGTTTATCCTAAAAAAAAAAAATACAATTTTCAGTTTCATTAGAATATTATAATAATAATAAATCCCAAATTTATGTAGTCATTAGATAAAGTCCTTATATGTCCGATCTGCCTATTTTTGGCATCAAAAGACAATACGATCGTTTTAAGGTCAATTTCGTCTACCTCACACAATCTTGTTAGGCACTATAATGAAATGGACCTGAAATTTATTTCACATGTTTCCTGAAAATTGATAAATATCAAAGCAACATAGAGCTGTTTGTTCTAGTTCGTTTAATGTCATGTTTGTTTGTGATGACCCCCCTTTTCGGGATTGCATCAGAATTATAGTTATCTCGTATCGCATGAGGATGACACATGTCAACTGAGCAATTATGTTTGGGACGTAGTTTTAAGAAATGATGTCAAAGTAACATTATGAAAATATTTTTAGTAAGCTGAAATATATATTTATTTTTTACATGTTTATGTCTTGTAAGATATTTTATTTCTGTCCCGTTTTTCAACATTTGCGTCTGGAAAGTTGAAATGTTTTAACTGAATGGTTAATTTAAATTAATTATGAAAATGGTTAAAATTAAATCAATAAAGGAAATTATTGCCCAGTTACAAACACTACCAGGGGATAATCCATAATGATTTTTTTTTCAGTTATATGTTTCAGCACATGTATAATTAACCCCAACTTTAGCCTGGTAAACTTGTTGTCTCCTTGTAAAATATAAAACATATTTAAAATGATTTCCTGCTAAAGTCTTATATTGATATAAAGTTAAAACCGTCTTGCTTCTCACTAGTCAACACTCCTGTCCTGTCAGGTTTAATTCGTATATATATGGATGAAAAATAAAAGTCCACAAAACATTAACATGGCAGCAATTGCTTTTACAGCCTTTAAGACTTTGACTTTTTTTTTACAGAAGAGTGTCCACCATGCACTTGCATTACACTATAATAATAGTAGAATAGTATGATATACAAATAGATGAAAATTATATATACATGCAACCGTAATATTAATATAATATATAACAACAAACCAGTGTATTCTCTGGAACTATTATTATATTAGTATAATAGTCTAAGGTATACTGATTTGTATCACTACAATATAATAGTTATTACGGTGAGGTTGAATTTCCTGTCATTTATTCATCATCCAAGCACGAACTTGTATAAGAAAAAAAAATCTCTGTAAATTAACCTCAGTTTCAGGTATAGAGATGTGATCTGTTTCTGTGACATGTGCTTTTGACCATCCACAAGAACCTGCGGTCATCCGATGTTCAGTAATTCAGTACTTTGATATTAGATCATTTATCTCTCAATGCGTCTCGTGGGAGAGTTACACTTATTGATGATCAGTCGTAAGGAACATTAATTAATGTCTCCTACTAGTTGACCATTTCGCAATGCCTCATTAATTATTTTAGATTAATTTAATGAATGTTTGAAAGACTGAGGTACATGTGTCCATGTTTTGAATCATTATTATTCTTTAAGAATTATACGTATGGGAATCTATTTCTTTTTTTTCTACATAGATTATCAACTATATCTTTTATTACCATATAGCATATAAGTGAGTTATCGATCTGTGTAAAGTTCTTTATTGCCAAGTTTTAGATATCTTAAATGCTCCGTATGGAGGTGTTCTTAGTTGCAGGAAACTAACTAATAAATATGCGTGAACCCTCAGGGGTTCACGCAACAAGTGAATTAAATAATTTATGAAAATGATTACTGCATCATTTATGACGAGGATGTCATAGAACAGTACTACATGTTGTAACGGTCCTTTAACAGTAAACAATGAATCTTTAAAAATAAACAAAAATAATTTTCAAATAAAAAACTGATATTTTTTTCTAACTTACACGTGGTTAAGAATAACGAAGACATCAATAATCGCAAAATAACTTTTTCTTTTTAGACGAACCGTTATATAGAAAACTAACAGAATTCAACCAACCAAAACCTGTAATTTCCTGTAAAGTGCCGTGCCAAGCAATGTGAGTTTATATAGAATAATTTTGATGTAACATAGTCAAACATAATAGGGTTAATCGGAACAACATTAAGCACCATTTATGGCATTTAGCTTTTTTGTTTGATAACCTCCTTCTACTATTTAATATGAAAAATAAGGTATAATGGCATATTATTAAAACAAAAAGAGAGAAAACAATGGCAGAAATCTCACATTTCTTGAACCTTAGTTGATCAATGTAAAAATAAAGAGATCAGGTATGTTAGCCAATGAAAAAAAGTGTCAAACAGAGTCCAAAAAAAAACGTGGATTTAAGCAATTACATCATCTTCAACAATTAGCAAAACCCAGGCCATTTAGTCAGTTACAAAAGGCCTGACATGACAAAATGGGAAACAATTCAAACGAAAACACGAAAGTGCTTAAACACACACACACACACAAGCATCTCATTTAAAGAATATCTAAAGTTGTTGCTAAATTATAAATTTGCTAGGTGTTAAAAATTCGTTAGGATCAATGTCAAATTATTGAAAACAGAATACAGTAGAAACACAAAAACTTCAAAACTAACACTGGCAATTAAAAAAAAAACACGTCAAAACTATAGATGCTCCAGGGAGCTTAGAGCAATAAAACTAAGGTAAAAGTAAATCGAAGACCTTTGATTTTTACCACAAACGGGTAAGGAAATGGAAAAATTTCTATTGTTTTATTGATGTTATGCTTCACTGTTTTAAATTCTTACAATTGTAGAGAGGAGAAGACGAAATGTAGAACCTTGGTACATTGTAAATGGGATACAACTATTCAATTTCCCTTATGTGTATATGACGAAGTAACAACAACAGCTACACCGACACGAACCACCAGGAAACTAAACTTACCAACTAAAAAGCCCAACCTACCTACAAAGAAGCCAAACATCCCAACAAAGAAACTAGGCTTACCAACCAAGAAGCCAAACATACCTTCAAAGACATCTAACTTACCAAGCATTTCAAGCAATTCGATACCAAGTCATACACATAAAGTACCTCCAAAACCAATACATACACACAAGATACCACCAGGTCCAACCAAAAAGATTGAAACAATTAAACCACCGACACCCTTAGGAACATCGATAGCTGGTTCTTCCACGTTGGTCATTTCACCAACCATGAATATAGTAAAAGAAACTAAATCAGGGTATGTATCATGTGTCTATATGTTATAATTAATTATGTCATGTTTTGTAATGAAAATATCCATGTAAAATCAAATTTCTAATCTTTATACCGTCTCTCCGATAGACCTAATTTGTCCTTGATTTGGGGTTAAAGTCTTATTAGCCACAACTCCTTTCGTTAAACAATATACAAATGTAATAGCCGCAAATTGCTTTGAGCATTGATCAAGTTTGCATAATTTACTGTAAAGTTTAGTTCCTTATCCTCTTGTTCATCGTCCGAATATACATATAAACATGTGACACATGTTATTTGCATTATCAAAAATCATAATTGTCGTTAAGAGTTGATCAATAGGCAGAATATAGCAACATGCTCATGAAATGGTAAAGTAGTTAGTTTCAGACTATTGATGGACTCGGTTGAGGACTATCATCTACTTAATAGACAATACGGAATGTCTGCAAAGATAAATTCGTAGACTAAAACATATTATATGTACGAAACGTTCAAAGATTTTCTTTCAGTTATGCAGATTTTGTATATGCTTTGATAAAACTGTCCGAAAAAAGCTGTTGTGGTAGCCATTAAAACAATTAGGAAACATTATTTTAATATGAAAAATCCTTATTTTGAATACAAGTAAAAATGTTTTTTGGTGGGGTTTGTGTTGCTCAGTCTTTGGTTTTCTATGTTTTGTTTTGTGTTTTGTTGTTTGTCTGTTTGTCTTTTTTCTTTTTTAGGCATGGTGTTGTCAGTTTATTTTCGACTTGTGAGATTAAATGTCCCTTTGGTATCCTTCGCCTTTTTTTTTGAAGAGTTTTAACTTAACAGTGAAATTCATCTGGTATTCCTTAAACAAACTTACTGTCCTTACCATGGAAAAAGTTTTAGAAAATCATAAGGTTGTTCTTTTCTCCTTTGGTATAAATATAAAAGAGGAGGATGTCGATCTTCCACGCGTAATATTGATACATAAATAACACTGGAATCCATGAAAAAAGAAGTGTATAAATTTGATCTTTTTGATGTCCCAGCCCCTAGCTTTGACACTGACAAATATTCCTCGGTTCATTTTCATTTTGCAATAATTACTGCTAGTCTGTAATATTCTGTCAATAATCAAAAATAATTTGATTTTTTTGAAGGAGAGATAATACAGGTCTTATAGTTGGACTTGTTCTGGCAGTTATAATACTGACAGCTCTTATTGTGTTTATTGCTTGGAGATTTTATGGAAAGAATATTCAGAAAGCTCTAGGAAATAGTAAGTAAAAATATGTATTTCACAACAGTTACACTTTGGTCACTTTCATTTTTGAATGATTTTTTATAAAGATAAACCACTAATACAAGTCATCAAAATAAACCTTTGTTAAAGAAGGGAATTCTGTCAATGCCATTAACTCAAACGAACGCGGAGATTTTGTTTAAAAATAATAGGAAGTCGAACAAACACTGATTCTCTTTCAAACGAAAACAAAGGCATAATATGTTTGCACTGAATACCGAACGTAAAAACGTGTATTCATCTAAACTTGAGAATTAAATTTTCATAACTTCTGACATTTTTAAGCAAATGATAAGCGAACAGTAGAAGGCAGTCAATGAAAATAACACTCTGTATAATTTCGTGCTTTTGAAGCTGGATTTACCTTCATCAAGAACGTTCAAAACTCAAACATGTAAACGGCAATTAAAGCGCTATGCAAAACACCAAGTCTTTTTAAATTTATCTGAATTTCCAGTCAAGTTTCATTAATATCCTAAAATTGTTAAAACCACAAGTTCTGCTATTTCAAGCTTTTTTTTTATCTTTTCATTTAAAGTTCATTTATCAGCTATATATCCTTGCTGACCTACCACTTAATAAATCAGCATACATCTACCTGCATTAAACGATAGTAGTTTCTTAGAACTTAGATGTTGAAACTGGAAGACATTTCCACTATTAACAAAACACCTCCTGTAAGCCCAGAAATTTGCATTCATATACGTATTGTCCAATTAGGTTGTGTTTGAAAATTATTCCCACATCTTCAGATAACGTTTGATACCAAATTTACTTAAATATTTTTTATATTTCAAAAGTTGCACACAAAAGAAGAATTAACTTTGTATATAAAAGGGGATTTACATACCGATTTTTTTTATTGCATACTGAAATATCACCTGCATTTTCATAATTCTTCGTACATGCATTTCCACTAGCATACTTGAATATAAACCAATGTTTTTTTACTCAATATTTAAACCTTTAAATAAAATTCGCCTTCGCCGTAATGTTTTTGGCATAAAACACAACTGACAAAATGACTCTTTTGTTTATTTCAGCTACCGCAGGCAAATATGTCCGACGGAACAGTGTGGTCGATCGAGTCATGTTCAGCAAAGTCAATGAGGAAATAATAACATCAAAAGGTCCGGCAGCTACATCTGTTCCATATGGACAAATGGATTGAACATGTGATAAACAGACACAAAATTGAATATAGAATTACCTTATTATATAATAAGCTTGTCTGTTAATTATAGACATCGTCACTCTTAAACTGACCAGAACAAATATTTTATTTATTTTTAACTTTATTTATAATTTTTCGAATTCCTGTAACAGACTTCCTGTAACAGACTTTTCGTAACAAAGTAAAAGGTGCACATGTACAATTATGATTTTTTTTTTTATATATTTATAAGCATGAAAAAGGAAGTTACAGAAATGTGTTGATAATGTTTAATTCAGTATAATGACTTTAAAATCAGACAACTGTATAAAATTTAAAATTCCAGTTGCAAATATTTAATGCATATTTGGGACAAAAGCAAATTAACATTTAACAATACGTATAGGTTTTGTTAGAACATCGACCGGGATGAAGAGGGGATTTTAATATGGACTGTAACTGGAAGCTGATCATATGCTGGATAGGGGAAGAAATTTGCTCTAGAGCAAGCCACGTATGGCCCCTCAAAAGAGTTGTTTGAGGGTTCATAGAGTATGGCACTCAACAGATACGCGGCATTTTTTAACACCCTCATTCAGGTCGGGTGTAGCTGTGTATTTATACATCCCACTCTTTCAAACAAACGACGCCCCACTAAAGCAAGGGTTTTACTGCCAGAAGGGAGAAGTCAATGTATGACCATATATCTTGTATGTTTGTCAATGAGACAACTATCCACAAAATATAAGACAATGATGTGAACAATGACAGGTCACGTACCGTACGGACTTCAATAATTGAACGAAACCCATACTGTATGGTAAGCTAAATAAAAAAGGCTAATGTATGACAAAATGTACGCATTCAGTGATACTTAAAACCAAATAGTGTGACCAAATAAATTAAATTTTATAAGCAATAACCCTCATAAGTCAAATCTGTCAAATTGAAATGATTTGATGAAGCTTTACTTGATTTATCATCCGAAAACCTCCAAATTTTCCCATTTCAAAAAATGGATATAACTTTAAAATGACAATAGTGAAATCCGTCAAATTCGAACTGGACTTGTGTTTTGTAGTCATTCACGCAAGGTCTAAATTTTAAATGATTTGGTTAAGTCTTACTGAATAAATCATCGTGTAAACACAATTCCAGGACGTATCTGCAAGAGTTTAACTATGTTGTCCTGGTTGCATCAATGTAAATATTTTATTATGAAAAACTTTTGTTGATACAATGTTATACAGAAACACAGAGACACACACCATGATATTATTATACATATGATACATGTGATGAGGTAGGAGCAGATGAAGTCTTACCAGAGAGGAAATGGATGGATATATTGTTGAAGGCATACTTTTGTATCAGAGGGATTTCATGTTTTTATTTATGATTCTGATGAACCATGGAGTTTCCACAACTTTTTTAGTTCGATTCTTTTGACAAATGCATAACTGCTTTAAATTTGATATGGTTAATGTTGGAAAGGTATTTTATGACTATATGACTATACATTCATTCCTTCTTCTAAAAATATGTACATTTAAAAAAAAATAATGAAATTCGTCTCCTATTGGATTTTTTGTTACACAAGTCATCTCATTGGGGCAATACAAAAACCAAAACGTAAACTGGCTTATCAAAACGCTAGATTTTGTTTTATTGACAACACACTTGCTATTGCTGGATATGGGTTTTTAGAAGAAAGTCGACATGCATAGGTGAGCCACTTGTGCTCCTGTTTTCTGTTCTTTAACATATTAAGTAGTTTTCCAACCAATGGTTTATAAAGAAGTATTAACAGAAGCGAGCATTGTCCCTTAAGTCCATGTGCGCAATATTCAAAATGTCTTTTCTCTGAATATTTAATGGATTGTGTCTTTGTTTATCGCTTCTTTCATTTGACCGTAGCTTTGAATACGGGGTACATATAGGCCTGCTTTGTGTCGGAAATTAAACCTAGAAATCGATAGCGACTGTCGATTGATTGTTTGTATTTTTCTTTCACAACGTCTAGTGGCAAACCTTTAATGCATATTCAGGACGTGGAGGGTCAGCTGAAAACTTAACTTTAAACAAAACGGAAGACTCAACTGTTTTTTTTGTACATGTGAATTTTCCAATTTATTTTGGAAAACCTTCAAGCAGCCACTGCATATAAAGTAAATGATATATCCCGACCAGTTGATACGATGTTCCAGAGCTTGTTTTTCCTCACCAAGATTCCATCGATGGATTGCACAGCTTACAAGGAATCTATTGGACCAAACGAATTTTACCGGTAAAGGCCAAGTTGTATCTTAAGGTTAACTTATGAATATTTGTCGTAGCCGTTGACAAAACATGACTTTTATTTAGCGGTCATGGGAGAGTTGGGTCGCACTCCATGGCATATATATATAATTTGTTCAGTTTTGAAATTTTCCTGACTAGTTAATAAAAAGGCTAAATTGGTCATTTGTTAAAACAAATTTTAATTACAAATGTAACATGTGTAATAAGTCATCTGTACTATGGGTATTGTATTATTTTAAGACATCTAATATTGATATAGAAATATAGAGCCGGTATCGTTCGCCTGGATCTATTTGCATCTG